TATAGAGATAGAGAGAGATAGAGAAAGAGATTTGAGAGATGAGTGAGATAGGTTCTTCTGTTACCTGAACACTGGGAGTTCGTCGAAAGCTGGCTGCAGGTCTTGATAGGACACACGATTCTTATTTCTACAAGCAATATATATATAATATATACATATACATATTTATATATAGATACCCTTCTTTTGTTTTTTTTTTCTTTTTTCTTAAACACGTGTGCTCTTCACATTTTTCTTTCGTTACACTTTTTTTTTTTTTTTTTTTTTTGATCGCTGCAAGGTTCTTTCTGCGTGTTTTAAGCGTGGTTTTGCGGAAGATTAAGGTCCGCGAGATCTATTATTTTCGACTTTGTCGATCCGTTTACGGCATTAAAAAGGAAAGTTGTTTGAACAATTTCGTTACTGCGAGGGTTTAAAAGAAGATCACGTAATAAGTAACCAGAATAAGAAGTAAACCACAAATAACAGTGTATCAGTATATTATACAAACCTAAACAATCTTCGTGGATAAATGTTTTGTAATACATGAGTTTATAAATGTTCATTAATAAAAGCTGTCTTCAAAAATTCAATTTGTTCGATCGTTGTTATCGTTGTTACATTACAAGAATATTTATTGATAGGATTAGAAAAGATTCCAAAGAATCTTGAATAAAGTAACTATAATCAGAGATCTGAATTAACAGTATTAATTAAGCGTCTGAGAGCTTTAAAAAGAGGATCTATATATCAGTAAGAAGCAATCTCGGTGAAGAGTAAGAGTAAGTAAATTTTTGTTTCTGACACAGTAACGAAATGGTTAAACTTCGCCTCCTCGTTCGTTTTGTTTCTATATTCTTCGAAAGACTATTCTTCGTTCAAGACGAAACGGGAGAAAGAAAGAGAATCGCGGAGCTTAATCCACGCGCAAGAGGATTAACCGTCTCCTCAGGTCGTCCCATCTCGTCCTTGAAAGCGTTTGCTCTTCTTTCCTGCAACTTCTTCCCTCTTGGCCAGCCCCCTTTTTTTTTTCGAGGATTTCTTCGTTCCCGCTTCAGCGAGAATTTTTCGAGACGATTCTCGTTTTCGCGACGGATTTCTCTCGATTCTCGATTAGATTTCTCTCTACTTCTCGGGCGCGTTTTTCTTTTCGTTTTGACACTGTGTTACGTTTCTTGGTTTCGATGGGATTCGCGACGTGTGATCTTCGATCTTACAATTAGGCAATCGAGCAAGCGTGATTAGCTTGGCCGAAGAATCAACGAGCTCGGTTTTTCTAGTGAAACGACGTTGGTGACACGTTCGTTGTTAGTGATTTATCATGCACGATAGATGATTCATTGAATTTTTATTTTTTTTTTACGAGCATTATTTGGTTCAAGACAGAATCTTGTAGTGTGTTACAAGAGAATTTTGTTGTCTTGAAATACAATTTCATGAAATATGGATAATATATAATTGTTAGAGAGAGAACAAGTACGATTTTAATTTATAAGAATATTCGAGCATTTGGCTTGAAATAAAATTTTATAGAATATAACGTAATAGATAAAACACACAAATAATCTTAATTTTACAAAAAATATTTTAGAATAAAATATTACCGGAGCAAGTTTCAAACGTCAGATCAAAAATTCACTTCGTTGGAATACAAAATTTTCGAAAATTCTCTAAGCCTTTAAAAAAAAAAAAAAAAAAAAAAACACTCCACAATAATTAACAATCGCAGCGTATCGGAAATAGAAATTAAAAATACAACGAAAAAATCGAAAGTAAGAACGAAAGTAGTTTCGGTGAGTCAGCGATCAGACGCGTGAAAAATCATGATTCTCAATGAACCACCTTACACACGTGCACGTGACGTAGTCGTTCGCAACAACATAAAACATGTTAAATTTCTCTCTCGTACGAAAGTAAAGAAAAAAAAAGAAAACTGAAAAAGATAGAATGAAAAGAATGAAAAGAAACATTACATGAATGAAGAGATACATATTGTAGCTTCTGCAAAATCGTTGAAACGACCCCCAGTACTCGTACTATAATTATATTACGAGAAGCGTTTAATAAAGTAGAGGTCACCGATCATCTGTGACTCGCACGAATTCTCTTCTTATTTCTTTTTTTTTTTTTTTTCAGAAGAAGAAAGACATTGCTAGGCAAAAAAAGAAAAAAAAAAAAAAAAATGAA